CGAGTATATTTGGGTAATCCCTCAAGGTTTCGAGGATAATCGTAACAGTATTTAGCGAAAGAAGCAACACTGTTGCTGCTTATCTATTGAACAGCTGGTTTATGTTCTTTACGATTTCACCCCTTTCGTAATTATTATTATTATTATTGTGATTTGTTTAGCCAAAAATGATGAAATTTAATTTTTTGCAATTGGTTAGTCAATCCATACGAAATGTTGCTAAGCCACAATTGTATTTGGCAACAATTTCAACAACCTCCGCATTCAAGACAGAAGCTGAAGTATCACAGGTTGACGTGGTGTTACAGCAATCAACCGGCAAAACTGGGTTTCCAAGTTACACATTGGAGCAGCAAAGGAAAATTTTGGCCATTGTGAATAATGATAATCAAGAGATTTTAAAGTAAACTATTATGTATAATTCCAAATAAATAATTAGTTAAACTTGCCGATTTCAGTTACGACATTGCTAAAACACGTGCCGCCAAATTGGCTACATGGAAAAAACGCCATGGACCTCTGAAGAATATAGAAGACATACTTTTGATTGAAGGTTTTGGAACGAAGATTGTGGAAAAATTCTATAGAAGTATGCTTGAGGGAAAATGTGACGAGAGTAGTGGTTAGTAAACACTTCTTATATTCTGTCCCAATAGGTTTACTTCTGAAACTTATACACTAAATAGCCTCACGCTCAGCGCGGCAACGTACCGCAGGCTTCATCACACCAGCAATTGATGCTGAACATCGTTCAGAAATACGTTCCTGTGTTTCAATACGTATCGGAGTGTCCAGTGTAACATGGGCACGTTTAGAACTGCCTACAACAGAATGCTCAAATGAACCTTGTAACTTGACGCATTGGGAGCATCATGAAATAACCGAGAAAAAACTGCATTTGTGTGATTTGGTACAACGCCTGTTGTATATTGATTACCTTATACCGAAAGCCGATTGCTATCTTTTCGAAAATCCGCAAATGGCACAGGTCAGTAGTAATCCGGGTAGCGTGGATCAGCAAAACATCAGCATACAAAAGTCTCAAGTATCGGCTATTATGGCGTATACATTATGCGCACGTGGGAAATTTGTCGAAGCTTTAAAAAGTGGAAAGGAAAATATTGGTGAAAATGAAAAGAAGTCTGTCGATATGAGACCGAATGTTTTCTACTTACGTCGCTTCCTCACTGCACGTCTGTTCAGTCAACTGATTGGTACGGAACGTGTTTCTTCTGAAGAAACTATGTTGCATATGATGCGCACACATAACAATGTAAACGATTTGTTCGAGGATGAGGTAAAAGGACTTGCCAAAGACCAATCATTACCTCCTCAAGGCAATGTATATTTTCCTGTAGCGCTTCGGGAAATGTTTTCGCGCTCAGGACGCTATCAACGTGAGTTTCTAGGCCAATCGCTTTTACTGAATTTGGCTTTTGTGCGTTTGGTATTGCTTCAAGATAAGAATAGTATTGCAGCTGTGACACGTAATCAAAATTAATTACAAATTGGAAGAATAAGCTGTTGTGATGTCAAGTAAAGTTTGAAGTTGTTCCATGCCTTAATGTGCCGTAGATTTTAATTATAACGACTGGATTAAAAAAAATTGTTAAGAGCAACTAATATATTAAATCAAGTAAAACTATTTTAGTTTACCTTTTCACTCTTGTTACTTGCCAAAGTAGTGCAAACCTTGCAAAAGATCAAATAATTTGTCGCAGTACTGCCAGTTTATTACAACATGTTTGCTTAAAAGAACATTGTTGAAACAAAAATCCGCTAGCCCGAGGAACGCTGTTAACTTCTTCCGATTTGACAGCACTCAACAGCTGTCATTTTTCCAGTGCATTTCACGAACAGTGTTGCCGCGCCCCAAAACCAAATTTACCAAAATCGTAAAAAAAAATTTTACAAATCCCGTTAAAATTAAGCAGGATTTGAATTGCTGACTGCAAAATAGCGTAAGCAACACTTTTTTGCTTTTTAAGGCACTCCGCACATTAAGCTCCTAATCACAGTAGTGTAATAGTTTCGGCATACTAAAGTATAAAGCTTTTATGCCGAACCCATGTATTTCAATGAAGCTCTGTAGATTACGATTCAAAATCATGTTTGCGCCTAATCATAAAAGCTTCATGAATCGAAGCGCCCAACATTGTAAGGCGCTTGCAGTTTTGAAATCGACATTTGTTTACTTTTTTGTGTTGGAAATAAAATTTATTTGTCAATTCAATAGAAAATAATTGGAAATGAACGATTTCGTGCTAAAATTCGTGCAAATTACATTAAACCACAAGCGTTTATGCAATATTTCGGAGCGGAAATATTTGCGGAAGTGCGTGTTGCGAAAGAACGGCAAAAAAATGTGTTATGTGTAGAAAGTGTTTATTAGCTGGTGACTTATGCAGGGCGTGCAAGTGTGCAGAGGTCGAGTCGTCATGCATTCGTTTCGGTATGATGAAACGATTACTCTACTTTGATTAGGCGCGTAATGTGCCGAATGCCTAAAGCAAGCCGGTCTTAATCATTTTCAATGCATTTGCAATTGCTTAGCTACGACTAACACTAATAAATCAGCAAAAGCGAAAAAGAAAAATGAAATCATTTGCTTTAGCTTATAGAGCCGTTTTTTGAAGTGAAACTTCTTAGGCGGCGGTATCGCAAAAATGGAGATTGAAATTTTTAATTTGCTTACAGTCAGCCGAAGCAACCAGTTTAGAAAAATTTGCTGTTGCTGCAAGCAGTAAGTTAGGGATAGTTCTAGTCTTGTTTTAGCTTATCTCCCGCTTCGTTATTCTCGCGAGTACTTTCATACACATATGCTCTTTTTCGCTTTTGCTGATTTATTTGTGTTAGTCGTAGTTATACCTGCTATGGAGCTTCAGCTTAAAGTTCTAGATCGCCTCCGAACGGCGACGACCCCGGATCGGGAGTTGCGTAGAGCAACATTTCTTGGAACTTTATACGGCATATACATACATGAAAGTCTTCTTTAAAAAAAATTGAAAAATTGATTGAAATGGTAAATCTTCTGTATATAAATTTTTGGGGAAAATTATCCTTTTTGACTATTTTAAATGATCAAAAAATTTAGCAAAACGAAGAAAAACTTTAAATTTTAACAGGCTGGGCCAAGAATGTAAATCTATAAGAGACAACACGTTATAATTGTAGCGAGTGTGAACATCAGGAGCGTGCCTTCTCTTTTGCCCAAATACGTTTTTAGACTGGATGAAAAGAGAAGGCACGCTCGACAGGCCCTGAACGGTGTTCACAGGGAGCCAGTCCCGAGTTATGTAGACTCCAGATCTGTGAATGCCGTTCTAAGCACACCACCACCGGACATTGACGAGAAGGAGCTTCATCTGCCTTGGAAGATAAGAACCACAAAAGTCCAACTTCGTTCTGGCTACTGCAGCAGGTTAAACTCATACCTGAGCAGACTAAACGCGGATGTGCCAAATGAGTGTCCGGCATGCGGAGAGACCCCTCACGACTCGAAACATCTCTTCGCATGCCCGGAAAAGCCGACAACCCTAACGCATTTGTCCCTGTGGACCGACCCTATTTAACTTGACGACAACGACTGAGATATTAACCGATCTGGACGGGGTTGTTGAAGCCGCTACAACAACAACAACAACAGAAGGCACGCACGATGGTCACACGCTACAATTACGTGTTGTCTCGTCTTATAGATTTACGTTCTTTGGGCAGGGCAAAATTACTCAATTTTGCTTAAATTTAAGCAAAACGGCAACGCTGTTCACAAAAGTCACAAACGTGGAAGTTTGGAAATTCTTGTCTTTTTCACATCGAGAAAAACACGTCAAAATTTCATCAAATTAGTAAATTGTAAGAAAATATTTCGAAACGCGTGCCACGACGTTAAAGCAATGAAATAAAACGACAAACCCACTCAAAATATTGCCAGAGACGACATTATAGTAGAATTCTGGTGAATTAACCTAGGCGAAAAACTCTGTGTAGTACTCTTTGGTGAACAACAGAAATTAAGTGGTCAAAGGTGAATTCATGATTGGCACCATGTCCAATTCCGCTGCAGGCCCAACCAAACAGGATATTGAGGCAGTGTTTCACCGCCTACGTGCCCAACCTGCCAATAAAGTAAGCACATACATAGTATGCTGATAACTAAAGCAACAACAAAAGACACCTGACTGATGTTTTTTTTTTACAATTGGTAATGATGACAAGTGGCTAATTTTGAAGATGAAAATTTAAATAAAAAATCGAACTTATTTTCCCTGCCGTATATTCACTTCGAGAAAGAAAGCTTAGTACTATTACAGTAGTTTAAATTATTTCCAGGCAATAGCCGAAATTTTTTGATTAAATTTACATTCTCTATAGGCTTGTTTTGACTGCTCTGCGAAGGCACCCACTTGGTCATCAGTTACATATGGCATTTTTATATGCATTGATTGCTCTGCAGTACATCGCAACTTGGGTGTCCACTTGACTTTTGTACGTTCAACAAATCTGGACACGAACTGGACGTGGTTACAGTTACGTCAAATGCAGCTTGGTGGCAATGCGAATGCAGCACAGTTCTTCAGGCAACATAATTGTGCTACCACCGACGCCCAGCAGAAGTACAATTCGCGTGCGGCCCAACTCTATCGCGACAAGTTGGCAGCTATGGCACAGCAAGCAATGAAAGTGCATGGCACGAAGGTATGCAGCAAAATCTGCTGGGGAAAAGTGTTACAGTTAATTTTTTTGTAAATTTACTTTTTTCGTTTTTGTGATTGCAATTTTTTCCTCTTTTATTACTAAACATAACATTTTTAAATAGTTTTTCGCAATGTTTATAAAACGATTTCTTTTATTCTACTAATTGCATACGTAAAACATCTTAATACTTAACACACCTATATGTGTATGTATGTATGTTTGCTGTTTACTTGTACTGCCTCCCTGGCACATATAGCTACACCTGGAGAATACTGCGGACAAGGCCGATGGAAATGAGTCAAAATCAACCACTGACGCTGAGGAGGACTTCTTCGCTGAGTGCATTAATGACAATAATAAGAAAACACTATTCGAAAACAATAACAGTGAGCAGGATGTCAAGGTAAATAGATAGTGAAATGCGTACATATAAACATACCCATATGCATTTGTAAGCATGTGAATTTGCACACTACACTAAGCTTTGTTATTTACTAACTGTCGTTATTGATTTCTGACAGCGTATTTAATTTTTAATTAATTAATCGTATTTAATTTCTAAAAATAATTAACTCGTTGTTTCAGCTCGACATTCTACCAAAAGCCCTTACTCCGACGCTTTCTAACGACAAACCATCGACCGAGTCGCTTAGTGTGGGAGCTCCTAGCGTAGACTTTCTCAATTCCGTTGTACCACCGACGGCTGTTACACCTTCTATAGGCGTGCGAAAGATACAACCAAAAAAATCAGGCGTAAGTATTTTAAAAATATTTATAGTTTTAAAAGTTTAATCGTTTCTATAATGCTGCAGTTGGGTGCTCGCAAAGGTGGTCTCGGCGCTACCAAGGTGAAGACAAATTTTGCCGAAATAGAGCAACGCGCAAATTTGGCCAATCAATGCAAGGAAGCGCCGATAGTGTCTGATAAGACCAAATCTGCTGAAGAGGAACAAGAGTCAGTGGCTAGCATGCGTTTGGCATACAAGGATCTATCCATTCAAAAGAAACGCGAGGAGGATAAATTGAAATCCATCGACCCAGCTAAAGCAAAACAAATGGAGCGTCTCGGCATGGGTTTCAGTTTGCGCGGGTAAGCAGTTATCTCATAGGTAAATTATAGGCTTTGTTTATTTAATCTTCTACTTTTATGTAGATCGGATGTCTCACATTCTGCTCTAAGTGATATGCAAACCATAAAGCAAACGTCTGCACCCAAGAATGCACCATTACAAAACAAAAGTTCTAATATCGGCAACAGTGATGATCTAGCAGACATTGATAGCGTATTTGGCGAGTACTCTTGTGCGCTATATATCGACAATATTGGCATTGGTGGCGGCCGCAGTGGTAGTAGTGCCGGCAAAAGTTCGAAAATAGATAAAAGTGAGCTGGAAATGATGGGTTTTGAGTCGATAGAGTCAATTGGTGGTGGACATTCCAATATAACGTCGATGTTCGCTGGTGGAGATAGTGATGCTAAGCCAACAAAGACTACAAAGCCAGCACAGTCTGCTGGCGCCTATGCATCTAAGTCACAAGTGAAATATGTCGATGATACATCGGCACAACAGAAGTTCGGCAGTGCAAAGGGTTTCGGTTCGGATCAGTTTTTTGGCAACGACGCAAATCAATTAGAAAGCAGGAAAGCTAACTTGTCGCGTTTCCAAAACTCTGATAGTATATCATCATCGGAATATTTTGGTGGGAGCAGGAACGGACCCGACGGGTTGGGAAATCGTGATTCGAGGGGTATGTACGAAGGAGAAAATAAAGTAATATGAATTTACGTAAATTAATTAATATACGATTTTCCAGGCTATGCCACTGGCGTCAACTTCCAGGCACCCGATTTGGATGATGTTAAGGAAAGTGTTCGACAGGGTGTACACAAGGTTGCTGGCCGTCTGAGTTCGATTGCAAATGATGTTATGTCATCGATTCAAGATAAATATGGCTACTGATAAAAAGTGTCTGGGCGTGTTGTGCTTAGACGCGGTTTCCATTTATTATACATAATTAATATTTTCGCTTCAAAGCGTGCGAAAAAGCGTACATTATTGTTCAAATTAAAAATGAAAACAAAGAAAAAAGAGAAAAATTCAATTATAGGCCTTTAAATTCCGAAAGAAAAACAAAAACATTCAAATATGTATTTAAAATAAATAAAGCACAGCAAATAAATTGTTTTCTAAACTGCCTAAAGACACTCGTAAACCAACCCATGCGCCCATTTACACAATCAAAACCAAGAAAAAAATGAAATGTATAATTCCTTTTAAATGCCATCAGACCTAAATTAATTCCGCGCCATTTGAAATTTCATTAAAGTGCTTATAATCCTTGAGCCACACGCTTTTGCGATTACCTTCAATTTTGATTTTTGCTTACAGCTATCAATCGTCATCTATCAGCGTCAGCTATCATAAGTCGCAATAGGCGCTATTTTCGAACGTATTTAGCAACTTATTTCCAAAATAAATTTCACGGGTAGCAATGCAATGTAGAGAACACCATTAGTGTATAAGATGAAAATCATATGCGTACATATTCAACAATACCATATACATACATATATAAGAGATTTTAAATCGATTTCTTTTATTTAAAAAATAATTTCAATATCCAATTGCTACGAGTATCTGTACCATTTTGAGCTTGGCCACCGAAATTGGACTTCGAAATTTTTAATTACACGTTTTGGATCTTCCACTTAAATCCCTTTCTCTTTTTTACTTTTGTTTGTTAATCTTTAAATGCTCGAGAGCTTAATATATTACAAAGGGGATACATTTTTTACACTATACTAGAAAAGTTAAGTGTTATTGATTAAAATTAATTTTTGTCAAATATTTTATGATATATTACTAAATTATATACATACATATGTACATAAATGTTTGAATAAAAATTTTCTGAAATGCATGTATAGTAAGGATAAAGGCAGCACTTTGAACTCAGCTAAAGAAAATTTAGGCTAAAAATAAAAAAATCCCGTAAAGGGAACAAATTCACCTCTCCAGAAAAATTCACCTCTCCAGCCAGAGACAACTACACCACAACTCAACCTCCGTTAGATGCAATACATGCAGTGGGTGGAACCACCTCCGAATTTTCTCAGGCCTTACGACTCTATGCAGTGGACCACCGCATCCGTGGCCCCTTGGTGCAAAAATCGAGCTGCCTCCACGGCACAACAGAGTCCGCCTGAGCAACTCAACACAAAAACAACCGCACCACAAAACAATACAATAGACAACACCACTGGCACAACAGACCACACCATCGATACAACTGCACCACCAGCCACGCGCCACCGCTAACAACCTAATTCCTCCGACAATCTGCACGGTGTGTCAGTCCAGGATATTCCGTAATGTGACATCAGTCAAGTGCAACATTTGCCGTGCTAGTCGGTCGCAAATTCCAAATGCCTCTGCAGCAACAAGCACAGCATGTGGCGACCCGGCAACACACCTCACATTGTCGATTGATTGAGATTCGTGGGTCGGCACGGAATATTAATAACTGCAGTCCAAGAGACGAAGCTGCATGGCAATTCAACATTCTAGACAATTCGACATTCTGCACAATGAACGACGACACACCCACAAGGATTATGGGCAGCTGCTGACTATTGTTAGGTCTGGCGAGCTGCAGCAGCTGCCCATAATCCTTGTGGGTGTGTCGTCGTTCATTGTGCAGAATATCATCTCGATTGATAAACCAGCCAACTTTGCTTCCGCGGATCACCGGACTTGAGTCAACTTTTTTAAAGCTGACTGGAAACGCTTCGCGGATATTACAGAAAGCACCTTCACTGCCCTACCCGCACCAACCGACGTTTACGTAGGTGAGCTTATGTTCCGCAGGGTTGTCACTGCTGCTTCAGCCCGCTTCGTTTCAGCGGTATGTATATCGGACCCTCGTCCGAATTTCACTACTGGAGCGGCTGTACTAGCCGATTAGCGTGACAACCTTCGTCAGGCCGGTCCCGGAAATCCCCGTATTAGAGATATCAACTCGGAGATTTGGCACTTGTGAACGTACATAAGCGGCAGAAATGGGAAGAGTATCTGAAGACCTGCGACTTCGCCTCTGGTGTGAGTAGCTTTGGTCAACCGAGAGGTCCTGGTCCAACCCCACGAAACGTGACGACAGAGTTGAAATAGACGCTAGAGACCACGCTTCGTCGGACCCGGAGTGATGCGCGAGCTATTTTAGCCGGCAGTTCATACTGTATTCTCCGGCGGATATAGCCAAACGTCGAGTGACCAGAAGGCTGCACAAACTGCCGAAACCTTGTGCGCCTCTTGTTTTCACCAGCCGTGAGGTAAGGGTAGCCATTAGGAAGGCGAAAGCCTCCAAAGCCATTGGACCCGACATAATTTGCATGTTGATGCTGAAAAATTTTGGGTCCCGCTGGAGTGGATTATTTTACTAAGGTCCTCATCCTGTCAATGGCCACTCTCATCATTCCAGACATCTGGAAAATGGGGAGAGTGGTCCCACTGCTTGAACCGGGGAAACCGTCCAACAAAGGAGAGTCCTATCGCCCGATAACCCTCCTTTCCCCGGTAGCGAAGACACTACTCCCGAACTATACAAACCACCTGACATAGCGATGCATATGCATGGGTTCTGTAAAGTGCACAGCACAACACCATCACTTAACGCCATAAACACCCAGATAACTCGTGGCCTTAACCGAAACCGCCCCTGTGAGAGATCAATTCTAGTAGCGTTGGACCTATCCAAGGCGTTTGACACCGTCAGTCACTCCACGCTACTAGAAGTCATATAGGCCTCCTCTCTCGCACTGGGACTCAAAACGTGGTCGGCGAATCATCTGAGTGGTTCATACTCGTCAGTAATTTTTAGAGACAAATTGAGCAAATCTAGGAAAATAAAACAAGGGGTCCCACAGGGTTGTATCCTTTCCCCATTACTATTTAACTTTTACATTTCTAAGCTCAGTCAACCACCAGAGGGAGGCTCGATTGTCTCTTATGCTGACGATTGCTCGACAATGGCGTCTGGGAATTGAATTGATGACTCGCGCTCAAAAGTAAACGGTTATCTCGCCGAGCTTTCTCGCTTCTTCACTGCACGGAGCCTAGCCCTATCCCTTATAAAATCATCTGCAACGTTATAGAACAACCTCTGACCCTACAGCTTACCTAGAGGCCTTGAACGGCATTCACAGGGAGTAAGTCTCGAGTTATATAGACTCTCGACGTGTGAATGCCGTTCTGGGCACAAAACCACCAGACGTGGACGAGGCAGAGTTTCGTCTGCCTCGGGAGACTTAGACCACAATAGCCCAACTTCGCTCTGGCTACTGCAGCAGCTTAAACTCGTACTTGAGCAGAATAAATGCAGATGCGCCAAACGAATGCCCGGCATGCGGAGAGACGCCTCATGACTCGAAACATCTCTTCGCATGCCCTCTGAACCCCACCTTGCTAACTTCTCTGTCCTTATGGACAGTCTCCATCGAGGCTGCATGCTTCCTGGGTCTTCCGTTAGTACAGCTTGACGACAACGATTGAGGGACTAACCGATCTGGACGGGGTTGTTGTAGCCAGCGCACATAGGGGTATTTGAACGATTTAGGCGGCCATAAACCCATTTGGCAAAATTTTGAAGGAAACTTAAACCGTCAGCGTTGACCGGAAACAGCATATCATAACGCTGCTTATAAATAAATTTTCGCTCTCTAGAAAGATCGTGACGGGTTTAAGTTAATATTTATTTTGATTTCTGGATTGTATTCTTAAAAAGTACTGATGGATCCGCATACAGAAGGTAATTTTGTATATAAGTGTTAAATTTTTCTAATCATTTTATTAAGCAAAAGTTCAATTGAAATGTAACGAAAATAGCGGTTTTCAACGAGTATATTTTTTTTTTGAATTTTTGTTGAATATTAAGGAATTTGTTGTAGCCCCGGGAGAGATCGCATTATTATTCTTTGTTCAATTGAAAGCTTAGAAATTTGGCTAATGTAGTGTGTAAAAATTGCCCGCAGAAAATGGAAGATAAGTGGTATTTCTTTACTTAGAAAATGTATTAAAGGAAAATTTAAAAACGCAACTAGTATGTAGTAAAACTAATTTAGATCTATTTTAACACTAAAATTAAACTTTTAGATGAATTTGAAGCCGCTGAACCAGAATATGAATCCATTTAACACAAAAAAAAAAAAATGGTGTTCGAGATATAAGCAAAAGTCATGTTTTCTAGGACCTTTTGGACCCAACTATGTTATGTATGTATGTTATATAAGTGATGATTAAAGATATAGTTTTGGGTATAAAAGCGTTTAAATTTAGATAAATCTAAGACCGTTCAGTAAATATTGTATCCAAATTGTTGAATATTGGTATGTGAAGTAAAATTTTGGAACAAAATGGGATTATTTTGAAATTTTTGGAAAATGGGAGTGGCTTCGCCCATTTATGATGAAATGCTTTATCTTAGTATCCGCTCCACCAATCTGTACCAAACTCGGTATGTGCCTTGCTTGGGCTATAACTAACATATCTGATAAAAATCCTGGAAATCGGGAGATAACCACGCCCACTTCCCATATAACGTTAATTTACAGAAACACGAAAACTGCGATAAATCAGTAACTACTGAAGCTAACTCACTCAAAATCGATTCTTGGACTGTCCTCTTAGCATTAAATTAGATTATTATAATTATTTGGATAATGGGCGTGGCGCCGCCCACTTATGACCACAAATATATATCTCAGTAATCGATTTATCACTTTGTATCTAACTCGGTGCACTTAATAACCTTGGTATGGAGAAGCAATACGTTGAAAATGCGAAAACTCCGATATTTCAGTAATTGAGGACGCTATGTAATTTATTACAAGTTAATACTTACAACATTCTCTTAACAATAAATAAGACTGTTATGTTACTGTTATTATTATGTATAAAAATATAGTTGTATTACATTTTTTTACCTATACAGCAGAGCGGTGTAACTGTAAAATCATTTAAAATTTTAATCATGAAATATTTACAAGTAGGATTTCATTATTTTTTCCTTTTGTCTGGTAGTGTAGCTTATATTTTTTCAATCTACATACAATCCTTCAAAAAAAAAAAAGGTAAGTGCGCCTGGGCCACACTGGAGAAGTGAAACTTACGATACGAATCTCTTTTTTTCTCATAACCAATATACATAAATATGTACATACATACATACATTCATCTGCTTTTGCTTAAGGTTATATTTTCTGTCTTTTTTCTACCTAGATCCCTACCTCTACTACTGTCCGTTCTAATTAGATTTATCTTATTCTGTTTTCCTTTATCTTAATTTTTATCTTTACACTCTATCGATAACAAAATCGATAGTAACATCCAATAAAATATAGCAAAATCGGTTTTAATGTTGGTAGCAAAATTGATTAGAAAATCGATAAAAATATTGATAACAAAATCTGTAAAAATATCGATAAATAATCGATAACAAAATCGATAACGAAATCGACAAATATCGATAACAAAATCGATAAATATCTATAACGGATTCTATAAATTTCGATAACAAAATCGATAAATATCGATAACAAAATCGATAAATATCCATAACAAAATCGGTAAATATTGATAACAAAATCGATAAATATCGATAAAAAAAGTCGATAAATATCGATAAAAAAATCGATAAATATCGATAACAAAATCAATAAATATCGATAACAAAATCGATAAATATCGATAACAAAATCAATAAATATCGATAACAAAATCGATAAATATCTATAATAAAATTGATAAATATCGATAAAAAGTCGATAAATATCGATAACAAAATCGATAAATATCGATAACAAAATCGATAAATATCATTAAAAAAGT